TTGTTATTGTTTGGTTGGTGTCTTATATGAAACTGCGACATTGCGCAATTTATTGGACAGACTTGTTTAAGATCACACAGCGTAATTTGGGTGGCATTTTCTTTCGTATTTTTAAATCATCTTCTTATTTTTGACTATCTGTAAATGTAGTTTCCTGCTCTTAATTGTGAATGCATACTTGATGGTTTTAAATGCTCCTGAAATTAAGTGCTGCTTGACGAGCCGATACAGTATTGTGTTCATAATATGTGACGTCACTGAAGGCCTAAGGTTGAAATGCACGGCCCGCCACTGAGAAAACCCACGCAAGCACGGGGAGAACATGCAAACTCCACACAAGAAGGCCGGAGCTGGAATTGAACCCGGTACCTCTGCACTGTGAAGTCGATGTGCTAACCACTCGACTACCGAGAATCAGATTATGATTTTTTTTTTCTCATAACGTCGTGTGAAGGAATATTTTTGTCGGGAAAATGCAATGTATTAAGGGAGCATCTGTTAAAAAAGCCACTGATGAGCAGCAGGTATTTGAAGCCGCTAGTGTCTCTGGAGTCTCAATAAAATCTCGATGGAGGGTACTCCAAATGCTTGCAATCATGCGTGTTGCTGAATTTCAACAACCCCAAGCCAATCTCACGAGGGGAAACGTTTTCACTGGGCTCAGAAATACTAATGTTCAAATCATTTTTTTCCCTCAGTGATACTTTGGATGGTCCAGTTGGATTCAATTTTGGATGGTTGGTGGATAGCCAAACCAAGCTAAGCCAAATTTTGTTTTGTACTTTTTTCAAAAGCAACCACTGATCAAAGTGCTGAGCAGAAGTAAAGATCATGTGATTTTACTTTTTTTTTTTTTTTTTTTTTGATTGGTAGATGACCCCCTCGCGAAGCGTGTGGGACATTTCTCCAATTGTGCTGTTAAGGACATCTGCTGGGCTTAAAAAAACATTACAGGCTCTCTGGATGAGATTGGAGTGCGTTGCCTGAGAGGACAGAGTGAACATCACATGACTAATTGAAGTGCTGACTGAATGAAAGAGAGGTGGATGGCACGCCAACCGCCGTACATCACAGTCGCCCGTGTGGGTCATATGATTTTTCTTTAAGCGATACGCGCACCGACAAATGTTTTCGCTCAATGAGCTTGACACATGTGCTGAAAGTTCTGAAAATGTGTGCATTTTAATTCATCAAACCCTTACTGTGGATGGTATGACAAACAATGACTTCTCAGTTTCAGAGGAGATGATGTGTGCGTGCGTGCGCATGCCTGTACATGCACAGGCCTGAATGAGCCTTGAAATAGTATATGCTATAAACATGTTTAATTTCACTGAAATATACCTTTTTTTGTCCAAACTTTGTGTGGCAGCACTTTGTAACTCTGGAATTAAAGAAGTGAGACAAAGGTTTATGTTGTTTTATCGTTCTACATCATTGCATAATTATAATTCAGCTATTCATAGTCATTACTA